AGTAGCTTCTTGTTACTACTAGCTTCTTGTTACTACTAGTAAGGCACTTGTTACTAGAAGCGATGCACTTGTTACTAGCGTCCTGGAGATGAATAGATCGGGTGGAACGACTGGGTGGAACCAAGGATCACCTTCTTCGCAACTTGGGACGGGCAAGAAGAAAGCTGTCGAAAGGACATGAAAGGACGCGCTGAATTTCCTCAAGGTGTTTGTCTTTGTTGCGAGCCAGCCTTTAGCTAGATGCCAGAAGAAGATCTTCAAGAGGATCGACATCATTTTGATTCTCCGACCCAACCAATACCGCCAGCATCCCAGCACAAAGCCATCTCTACTTGAGCAGGTCCAAGAGTGTCTCAAGTTCCGATGCACCCGAGACATCTTGTCCATCACGCTAGTAACAAGTGCCACGCTAGTAGTAACAGGTGCCTTACTAGTAGTAACAAGGACGCTACTAGGGGCTCCTGGCATCGCTACTAGTAACCATGTTCGCTACTAGGGGCTCCTGGCATCACTACTAGGAGCAAGAAGCCACTAGGTTGGAGGCCATAGCTAGGCTGCTCCCATTACATTCCTGTACTTGCGGTCTCTGCCTCCCGGTTCTGGGCTGTGGCCAGGCGCCCACCACGCTCGCCCAATAGGGTCAGCAAGAGACCTCATACATGGAGCATGGGCAGAATGAGAAGCATGAGCTGTCTCCTCGTTCTCCCTTCTACTAGTTGCTAGGAGCAAGGGCATTGCTACGAACAGTGCATTCTTGTTCTGTCTTTCTCTTCAGACCTTTAGAGTCGTCTTTTTGTCCCTTTCTTACGAGGTGGTCCACATGTTCAGTGCATGAGGAGCTAAGAAATTGCTGGGTCATTCATCAGGGTTGTCCGAGCCTTCACTGGTGATTGGGTTCACCTTTTCAGTGAGTGACACCTTTTCAAAAAAGACCAGTTACATTCTCGCTGCGACCTCTGCCAAAAGATCATCTACCTCTACCTGAAAGTCTGCCTAACAAGGAACGCACAAGCAACAAGGACACTCGAACGCATATTCCATTCTCCCATTAGCGGTGCAGTCCAGCCACAGCAGCCCAGCGCGAACCAGTCCCGTGCTGCCATCCGCTTCGCCCGAGCCGACCGCGCCTTACACTTCAGAACAGGGTATCATGAAGCATTAAGGAATCGAAGCTACTAGTAACAAGTGCCACGCTAGTAGTAACAAGTGCCTTACTAGTAGTAACAAGAAGCTATGAATTTAATTTGTTACTACTAGTAGCATTAAGGAATCCTAATTGCAATGGCCTCCAACCTAATAGCGATGGCCTCCACGCTAGTAGCGATGGCCTCCACGCT